CCCCCCCCCCCCCCCCCCTGTGAGGAAACACCTGCCTTCCTTGTTAGTCAACTCATTTGTTCAGATTTTCTTTTTCATTTGTCATATGTCTGTGGATTTGCATGCCTCTGGATCGCATTGTGTTCAGTACATCCAACAAAAGTGACTCTGTGCAGAAAAATATAGTATGACATGTATTCGGCGTGTGTATCAAGTTTGCTGCGCGTGAGCATGAAGTGCGAGCAGTTGACACAAGCACTGCAGCAAAAATAAACCATGAATGAAAGGACCTTGAATGTTGAGAGGAAGACGAGACAGCGACAGGCACAACAGGGATGATGTGGAGATGAAGGACGACGAGGGAAAGGGAGGAGGGACGGTGAGTGATGGATGATCGAGTAAGAAAGAAGAGGTGATTACTTGTGCTGGATTGCAGCCTCTAGTGTCCCATATAAACACACACACACACACACACACACCACGCCGCATTACTACCAACCCTAAACAATGCTTCGCACTGGCGGGATGGTGCTGCTGCCGTAGCAACAAGGGAGAGGTGTAGGAGGGCGGAGACAGTCCGGGGGGGCTGCGAGGGGATTGGCTGGAAACAGACTCTGCACTGATGTCATCCCTCCATCCCCCGGCTCTCCCCTGTCCATCCATTCATCCCCTCACATCCCTCGCCCGCATGCTGTCATTCATCAACTTGGTGGAGGGGGGGGAGAGAGAGAGGGAGGGTATTTTGTATTTGAGCTTTGCACACGTCATCGTCTTCTCTCTTAATGTTGTCATTTTTTTTATTGTATGTACATATGTAATGAATAGTAGTCAATAATAGTGCTGTTGTTTCAGTATGGAAACCCTGCATACATCGAGTACAAATTCCACAAGGCAGGATAATTAAAACAGCAACACACCATGAGAAACAGCACACACTCAAACTTGTGTGAGTGTGTTTGTGTGTTTCATGTGTGTACGTTCTAGATCTGCCCCACTCTCTAATCCTATAATCCAATGGTTAAGCCTTGACTGAGTGCCGCAAACATTTACATGAATGAGTTAGTGTCGTTTGTCATGCGTCTGTGTGAGTGTGTCGACAGAGGCAGAGAGAGAAGGATGACGGAGAGACAGAGTTATGAGTGTGAAAGGGGGAAAATAAGAGTAACTATGATTCAAATGATGAAAGAGATGCTGTTAGGAAACAGAGGGGGGGGTAAACTGAAAAAAAGTATAGAGAGAAGGAGGGCAAAGGATAGAGGCAGCGAGAGTTGAGTGAGTGGTGTGGGGGGGTTGTTACTCTGTTAAGAGCGGATCCATAATTTATGTAAGAGTGAAATTGTCATTGCTGACAAATTGTTTAACTTGTTTCTGATTTTAAAATCCAGGGGTATTAAACATTAAACTGACTTTACATACATGTAGATATTCCTATGAACCCGGATTGATGTATTGGATAAATACATGTGATGCCAATGCTTTTTGGGATATATTTTATGAGTTAATGTCATGTTTGTCCAGAGCTGTTTGTGGAGACTCTGTTGGTTAATGAGTAATAAAACAGGTCACCAGCTGCTTATCCCCATTTCAATGGACCAACTTACTGAGCACACTCACACATACACACACACACATGCAAGGTCATTGCATTGAATCCCTTCTTGTCTGGACCTCACATGCTAATCTAGTGAACCCAATGCTGCAGACACTCTGTCGGCACACACACAGGCACGTGCCTTATTGCCTCTTTCCTCCCACCGGTTATTGTGAATGGGAATCGTGGGTTTCTTATTTGGTCATTAGGTTGCTTACTTCCTCCTCAGCCTTATGTGCTATAACACTGCGCTGTTTGACAACCCCTGACCCCAAAGGGAGCCTCAGTTGGCAGGAAATCAATTCTTTTTAAATGTAAC